ACTATTTTCCTCTAGTGGAAGCGTTCGGTACTGCTCTTAAACACGCTCACTGAACGCTCATTTACTGAGATATCAGCCTCACATTTGAAACACAACTTGTTTAGATTTTTTTTTTTTTTTTTTTTTTTTTGCAGTTTTATTTTTGTATTTTCTATAAAAACTGAAAATAGTATTTATGTGCATTTTCAGTCCAATTTTTTTTATTTTGGTGCAGTTTTCACTTCAGCAATAATCTGCCAGGTGTCTTCTTTAAAAAGAGACCACACTTCAGCCTGTACTCCACAAGTTTAAGTTGGAGATTTAAATTTTCATGTCTATACTCAAAAAGGGATTAATATAATGCATTATAACTATTGCATAAATATAATTTAGCACCATAATATCCCCTAAAATATTAAATAAAAAAACATAATTGAACTAAAATATAGTATGTGCATTTCATTTCAATAAAAATAAATTAATAAATTATGTATGAAGAACATCAAGAAGTGCATGAGTGTTTGTTGTGGAGAATAAACCCGATCTCTCCCGGTCTCAGCACACAGTGATGCTTCAGCGCCGCAGAGACGGAGTCAAGCCCGACATGCCGAACGCAGAGGAGCGGGACCAGATCCTCTCAGCACTCGGGGGAAAACCCTACTGACATCATCAGACCGACTCCTGACATCATCAGACCGACTCCTGACATCATCAGACCCTCTCCTGACATCATCAGACCGACTCCTGACATCATCAGACCGACTCCTGACATCATCAGACCCTCCCCTGACATCATCAGACCCTCCCCTGACATCATCAGACCGACTCCTGACATCATCAGACCCTCCCCTGACATCATCAGACCCTCTCCTGACATCATCAGACCCTCTCCTGACATCATCAGACCCTCTCCTGACATCAGACCCTCTCCTGACATCATCAGACCCTCTCCTGACATCATCAGACCTTCCCCTGACATCATCAGACCCTCAGCTGACATCATCAGACCCTCCCCTGACATCATCAGACCCTCAGCTGACATCATCAGACCCTCCCCTGACATCATCAGACCCTCAGCTGACATCATCAGACCCTCCCCTGACATCATCAGACCCTCAGCTGACATCATCAGACCCTCCCCTGACATCATCAGACCCTCAGCTGACATCATCAGACCCTCCCCTGACATCATCAGACCTTCCCCTGACATCATCAGACCCTCCCCTGACATCATCAGACCCTCTCCTGACATCATCAGACCCTCTCCTGACATCATCAGACCCTCTCCTGACATCATCAGACCGACTCCTGACATCATCAGACCCTCAGCTGACATCATCAGACCCTCTCCTGACATCATCAGACCCTCTCCTGACATCATCAGACCCTCTCCTGACATCATCAGACCGACTCCTGAGATCATCAGACCCTCTGCTGACATCATCAGACCGACTCCTGACATCATCAGACCCTCTCCTGACATCAGACCCTCTCCTGACATCATCAGACCCTCAGCTGACATCATCAGACCCTCCCCTGACATCATCAGACCCTCCCCTGACATCATCAGACCCTCCCCTGACATCATCAGACCCTCCCCTGACACCTGACATCATCAGACCCTCCCCTGACATCATCAGACCCTCCCCTGACATCATCAGACCTTCCCCTGACATCATCAGACCCTCCCCTGACATCATCAGACCCTCCCCTGACATCATCAGACCCTCCCCTGACATCATCAGACCCTCCCCTGACATCATCAGACCCTCCCCTGACATCATCAGACCCTCCCCTGACATCATCAGACCCTCCCCTGACATCATCAGACCCTCCCCTGACATCATCAGACCCTCCCCTGACATCATCAGACCCTCCCCTGACATCATCAGACCCTCCCCTGACATCATCAGACCCTCCCCTGACATCATCAGACCCTCTCCTGACATCATCAGACCGACTCCTGACATCATCAGACCCTCTCCTGACATCATCAGACCCTCTCCTGACATCATCAGACCCTCTCCTGACATCATCAGACCGACTCCTGAGATCATCAGACCCTCTGCTGACATCATCAGACCGACTCCTGACATCATCAGACCCTCTCCTGACATCAGACCCTCTCCTGACATCATCAGACCCTCAGCTGACATCATCAGACCCTCCCCTGACATCATCAGACCCTCCCCTGACATCATCAGACCCTCCCCTGACATCATCAGACCCTCCCCTGACATCATCAGACCCTCCCCTGACATCATCAGACCCTCCCCTGACATCATCAGACCCTCCCCTGACATCATCAGACCCTCCCCTGACATCATCAGACCGACTCCTGACATCATCAGACCCTCAGCTGACATCATCAGACCCTCAGCTGACATCATCAGACCCTCTCCTGACATCATCAGACCCTCTGCTGACATCATCAGACCCTCCCCTGACATCATCAGACCCTCCCCTGACATCATCAGACCCTCCCCTGACATCATCAGACCCTCCCCTGACATCATCAGACCCTCCCCTGACATCATCAGACCCTCCGGTGACATCATCAGATCATTTAATGTGTATTCAGTCATTCAAACGTGAACGTATTTTGAGTACGAGTGTGTGTTGTGTCAAGTTTATTTCATTCAATGCTTTTCATTGATGCATTGTTTACAGGAATGCATGATGATGATGATGTTATAACACCAATGCCTGATCGTCCACGTTTAGCAGTTTACAGCGGATTAATCCCGTAAGCGTTCTCGTGGAGCTCGTAGTTACAACTGGTAACCTGGGAATTCTCCTACTTGTCTCAAAAACACCATGTTTGCAAAGATCTGGGAAGTTTGAAATACAATAAACACAGCCCGTTATTATGCGTTAAAATGTGGCTTTCTGTTGTTGCATTCTCGCAAACCAAAACTGGACCAATCAGCTGCGAGTCTGATGCAATTAAGCCACGATTTGTTATTTATGTTTTAATTTGCTATATTTATATTATATGAATATGAATTATACTTATTTATAATTCACAGTTAATTGACAATATACAACTTTTTGCATTTAAATTAACATAAATAAAAGCTTTAATATATAAAGCGTGTGTTCTTTTGAGCTCGTTGTGAACCTATATAAAGTATTTAATTTCAGTTTTCAGTCGTCATCAGTGGTGTCCACATGGGGGCGCATGCGCACTGCGCACACAAACAGCGGGCATTTAAGTTAGAAATATTATATTTCTAAAGACGTTTAAGAATTGACCCTACGTAAAGACAATAGGGAGTCACACTTGAATTTTCTAATTTTTCAGACTTGCAATTTCTAATGCCTATTAGATTTTTCTGTATACAATTTTACATATCTAGCCTGAATATTTAGTTACAATATATATATATATATATAGTTAAAATATGTATATTGTATAGATTTTAAGGTAGAATTAGGCAGAATTCCACTGAGACCACAATGTATTTATTGCAGCTCATTTACTGTACTTACACTAGATGTGCAGTTACGGGGGAAACGAAGCTTTTGAATCAATTGAATCGCTAAATGATTCACTGATGGAAGCGGCTCTCTCCCCTGCTGGTCAGATCAGTGTAAATGCAGCGAAAACTCAGTCAAAACATGCAGAAAAACACATTTTACAAACCAGCAATGTTTCATTGAAGCCGTCATCTATTAAATGCAATTAACAAATCATCTGATACCATTAAATATGAAGTTTCTCTATAATACGTGTTATTTTATTAAATTGTTGAGATTGTTTTGTCAGTTTTATGGAGAGTTTGGTTAATCAGACCAGAGACTTTTAACTAGAATTCTTCCTTTTTATCATACAAATGTATAAAACTGATCCGAGATCAGGTAAAAAATAAATCATACTTGTTCATGGGTTCACGGAGACTCGTTTACTGGAATCGCGCTCCGATTCACTGGTTCGAAACAAATGATTCGCAAAGGGTTCGGATCTTCACGAAGCGCCATCTAACACACACACACACATTTCATAAATCATGCGAATGTTTTAGTGCTTTTGTGGAGCTGATATATGTCTTCATAAAAGTGTAGATTTTTAAGAAAAAAGAAGCAAACTATACTATAATTGACAATTTATTAGTAAGAGCCACAATAATACACCAAATCAACTACTTCCATTATACAATCATTAAGTAAGTCATTAAAAACATCGTTAAAAGATATTTAAAAAAAAAAAAACATTTTCACATAATCTGTATATAATATTTAAACTCTAAAGTCAGAAAGGGTTTCTTGGGTGCAAATTAAGTGCAAACGGTTAAAGAGGCAAAATGTTGATATTATTAAAATGGAAACTTCTTCATATCGGATGAAACAGAAGTGCAGAGTGTAGAAGTGCAGAGTGTAGAAGTGCAGAGTGTAGAAGTGCAGAGTGTAGAAGTGCAGAGTGTAGAAGTGCAGAGTGTAGAAGTGCAGAGTGTAGAAGTGCAGAGTGTAGAAGTGCAGAGTGTAGAAGTGCAGAGTGTAGAAGTGCAGAGTGCAGAGTGTAGAAGTGCAGAGTGTAGAAGTGCAGAGTGTAGAAGTGCAGAGTGTAGAAGTGCAGAGTGTAGAAGTGCAGAGTGTAGAAGTGCAGAGTGTAGAAGTAGAAGTGCAGAGTGTAGAAGTGCAGAGTGTAGAAGTGCAGAGTGTAGAAGTGCAGAGTGTAGAAGTGCAGAGTGTAGAAGTGCAGAGTGTAGAAGTGCAGAGTGGTCACAGTATGGGTCCGTTTTAAACATCTATTTTTTTCAAGCATGCTTAATGTGTAAATATTCCTTTTCTCTCTCTCTCTCTCTCTCTCTCTCTCTCTCTCTCTCTCTCTCTCTCTCTCTCTCTCTCTCTCTCTCTCTCTCTCTCTCTCTCTCTCTCACTCACACACACACACACACTCTCTCTCTCTCTCACTCACACACACACACACTCTCTCTCTCTCTCTCTCTCTCTCTCTCTCTCTCACACACACACACACACTCTCTCTCTCTCACACACACACACACACACTCTCTCTCTCA